TGATATGAACCATTACCACCTTGGGTCTTTTTTATTATAGCAACTAAACTGCACCCTAAATAATATAATTACCAGATATCTAAGGCAAATGCCACATATCACTAGTTAATAATCTTCATTAACTCATCCTTATTAAAAACAAGGATGTCAGGCCTCCCGGTGGCGCAGCAGGTTGAGTGCAGCGCTGTGAAGCTGTCCACAGCCTCTGCAGTGCTGGTTTGATTCCTGGCCAGCCAGGGAGCTACCCACATGGCGCAGCAGACCTCTCCTGTCTCACCTGTTGCTTCCCTCAGAAATGCTTTTGGTCCATCTGCCTGTTCTGCTCCCCGCTCTGTCTCTGGTGAATCCTCTCACCCTCCTGTGCCTCTGGCCTATACCCCAGTGCTTGTATAAATAAATAAATCTTAAAAAAAAAAAGAATGCCTACTATTACCATCACAAATTAACATTACACAAGCAAACTAGTCAAGGTAATAAGAAAATAAAAAGAACGAGGGAGGAATAAAAGAAAAAAATTGTCATGAATCAAATATGTGAGGGTCTATCAAAAATTTAGAAGAATCAGCTATAAAACTATTAGAAGTCTCTTCCCAAGGAAAAATCCATATGGAGTTATCTTCACATAAGCAATAAGGAATTTTAACATGCAATGGAAAAATAAGATGTAATTCATTATCATGACAGAACTTTAAAACATCTAGAAATAAAATCTAAAAGAAGTCTGAAGGAAGATATAAAACTTGCAAATAACCTGAGTAGATGAACAGACTTGACTGGAAGACACAATATGAATGAAGAGGTAAATTTTCTCCATACCTACATGAAAGTACCAAACTATTCCAATCAAAATTCCCCAAAAACAGTTGTAAAGGAGTTTTACAATCTGATTTTGGAGAGAAAGTACAAAAGATTGGCTGTGAAAAATAACATTTAAAAGAGACTCTCCCTGGGCCTCCCTGGTGGTGCAAGGGGTTGAGCACAGCACTATGACACTATCCACAGCCTCTGTATCACAAGTTCAATCCCCTGCCAGCCAGGGAGCTACCCACATGGTGCAGCAGACCTCTCCTGTCTTGCCTGGTGCTCCCCTCAGCAGTGTATTTCAGTGAATCCACCTGTTCTGCTCCCTGCTCTGTCTCTGGTGAATCCTCTCACCCCCTGCACCTCTGGCCTGTACACCTGTTCTTGTATGCATAAATAAATAAATCTTTAAAAAAAGAGAGAGACTCTTCCTGTAAGCTAGCAAAATATAGTGTGTATATCCTGCATATCTATATAGTAACTAATACTATACTCCTTTCATAGTGTCTGATCAGGTTTATTTTATTACAGATAGTTATTTTATATCATAGTTATTATTAGTTATTATTATAGTTATATCATAGTTATTATATCATAGTTATATCATAGTTATTATTATATCACATTAACATAGGAATGGATGCACAGACCTTAGACAAAATTAAGTCCTAGAACAATTTCATGTTGTGTACACACACACACACACACACACACACACAGAACATTTCCTGAAAGGGTAGACTTCAATTATTGGAGGTGGGACAACTGCATATTCAGGAAAAATAAATTAGATTTTTTGCTTAGACCACACATAGAAGCTAGAGTCTACACAGTTTAAAAGTTTAAACAGCTATAAAATTAGAAAATAGAAAATTGGGTGAAAGTCAGAAGACAAAAATGAAAATTATGAAAATGTGACCACATGAAAAAGAATAACTACTTTAAAGTAAAGATGGTAAAATGGAAGAGATTAAGGGAAAATATCTGCAAAATGTGTAACAGATGAAGGCTTAATATATGCCATGTATAAAGACAAATAAAATTAGATCAATTTAAAATTAAAAATGAATTTGAAGAGGCAATTCAGAGAAGTGCAAATGGTCATGTACATCAAAAAATATGTTCCACTTCACTAGTAAATAGGGAAATATAAATTAAAACATGGAGATTCTATTTTTCACCAGATTGGCAAATATTTTAAATTTTCATAACATCCAGTGCTAGAAAACAGAATTTCTTATTCACTGTTAATAGGAGTACAGATTGGTACAGTCTAATTCAAGGACAGTTTGGCAGGAACCATCAAAATGAAAATTATGAATACCTTGCTACCCACTTCCTAGGAGCTTATCCCACAGAAAGGGCACAAAATTGCAGATAAGCACAAAGATATCCTAATAGATTTATTTTGGCATCCTATTTTGATCACAGCAAAAATTTTAAATTGACCTAAGGAACTTTCCAGAGAGGAATTTGCTGACATAAAATGTTTTACCCTTTTATCACATTTTTAAAAATTTAGAATACAGTCAGGAACCTATACATTTACAATCAACAATTCAAGGTGACAATGTTAATGAGAGAATGAATATGAGCTGTGATCCTGTGTGTTCTTTGATAAAGGCTAGTCCACATGAAATTCTTAAGTTTAATGTAGTCATAATTAAAATGTCATCATGTATTTTAGGAATTTAAAATAATTCTAAAGTTTCCCCAGAATGTAAACAACAATAACAGGTAAGCATTTTTCAACAGAGATGAAAGTTATCCACTAGAGGCTGAAGCATATTATAAAATTACATGTATGGGATATAGCATTTAGAAGAAAAATCTGCAAGCATATTAATAAAACAAAGTAGAAAATGAATAAAAAACCTTGAGAGGACACTAGCTACATAGGGACAATAGACACATCCAGAGAAGAAGGGATGAATTAACTGGACAAGAATGTGGAATCCGGTTAGATATTTGCAGGATGGGTTATATAAGATCCGGTTTAGCTATTAATATTGTCCAACATTCATTAAAATAAATTTTAAACACACTAGTGCTATAAAATTTTGAAAAGAAATTTAGGAAAATCTAAAAGAAAGTAGAGATAAATATTTATAAAATTTCTAGAGGGTAAAAATGGTCTATGTACACAGTCAGTACCGGAAATCCCTAAGGAAAAAAGGTCGGTGGTAGGACCACTATCAAATCATATTTCTTTTTTTTTTGTCTCATCTATTTGTATTTTTTTAATTTTTTAATTTTTTAAAATAAATTTTATTTTTATATTCCCCTTATTTTGCAACCCCCTTATTTTGACCCCAATCCCTCCCTTCCCCACCCCCAAACCCCCATAGAGTGTCTCTGGTTCATAGTTTTTTGTTGATTTTGATTTTCACTTTCTTATAGTTATTCATTTTCCTGGTCCCTTATTTAAGTTTTCTATATTCCTGCTATGAGTGAGACCATCCGGTATTTTTCTTTTTCTTTCTGGCTTATTTCACTGAGCATGATCCCTTCCAACACTATCCATGTTGCTGCAAATTGCATGTGTTTATCTTTTTTGAATGCTGAGTAATATTCCATGGTATATATGTACCACATCTTCTTGATCCAGTCATCTATTTTTGGGAATTTGGGTTGTTTCCAAGCTTAGCTATTGTAAACAGTGCTGCTATAAACATAGGGGTGCAGGTGCTCTTTGGAATTGATGTTTCTGTGTCCTTTGGGTAACAGCTTCTGCACAGCAAAAGAGACAAAAAAAAAAAAAAAAAAAAGAGAAACCCCACCAATTGGGAGAACATTTTTGCACACAACACTAATGATAAAGGACTGATCACAAAAATCTGCAAAGAGCTGATGAGACTCAACAACAACATAGAAAACAATCCTGTCAAAAAATGGGCAGAAGAGCTAAAAAGAAACTTCTCTGAAGAGGAAATGCAAATGGCCAACAGGCATATGAAAAAATGTTCAACATCACTTGTCATCAGGGAAATGCAAATCAAAACTACCATGAGATACCACCTGACACCAGTGAGAATGGCACATATTAAAAAAACTAGCAACAACAAATGTTGGCAAGGATGTGGAGAAAAAGGAACTCTCCTGCATTGCTGGAGGGAGTGCAAACTGGTCCAGCCACTATGGGGAGCTGTGTGGAGATTTCTGGACCTACTAAACATAGAGCTTCCATATGATCCAGCAATATCAAATCATATTTCTATAGCTCAAACTTTAAAATGGACAAAAAGCAATAGAAACAAATTGGAAGAAGAAAAAGGTGGTCTTATGTACATAAAGAGAATTTGCAATAAAGATAAGAAAACACTACTAAAATAAATATAGGAAAAATCCTGAAGGAGATCATTTAAAGTTGGTTGGCAACTGGTAAAAAGAAAAAAAAATCAAGAGAATACAAAGTCAGTCAACATTTTTATTGTATTTTTGCCTATCATATTAGATAAAAATGATGCCATTTAGTAATTAAAGGACTACCTCATACCAGATGGAAGCATGAAACTTTTAGAAATCAATTTGGCATTTTGCATGAAAAGCCAATGTAAGTTCCCACATTGGAGTTTACTTCTGGAAATCTTTCTGAAGGAAATAATTCTTAACACACATACCAAAGCTATATGCACAATGAAGTCATGGCAGCATTACTTATAACAGCAAAATTCTGAGATCATTTTAGAAAATTTGCAATAATTCAACAATAAAGGAGTAATTAAGTAATTTATTGTACTTCTACTCAGGGAAACATGCAGATTTTAACTGATTTTTATGAAGTGGATACTAAAATAATAAAATGACTAACATAAAATATTAAATGAAAAAGAAGGCACTTTCATAGCTACTAGACTCTCAACTACATATAAAATGCAAACTTTAGAACATATTTAAAAGACTGAAAAGAAATACATAAAAAATTAAGTGATTTTATATGAATGATGGGTTTGAGGTTGTTCACCTCTCAAAATTTTTTCCATGTTTTCCAAACTTTCTAAAATAAATGTTTGTAAAAGCAAAACTTTATTTTATGAAACTGTTTGGAAAAATTTGATGGCACATTCTGCAACATAAGCTGTCCATGCATAGGGCTCTGGGGATGCTAATTAGAAAATGATGAGTTAATTAAAGTTGTGTGCTTAGTCTCTATGGCAAGGATTCCTTTAATCCAACGGTGGTTTTCTCTCCATTTGCAGAACGCGGTTTCTGGATGAAAAACTGAGAACAGACTGACCCTCTGGCCACAGCAATTCACGTCAGAGATGCAGAGTTGCAGGTGCATGCTGTTTGGTTTGGTTTGCCAAGTGAAAATAGCTGTGCTTCCCACTGTGGCGAGCATTTCCAACTTCAGATGGGGCAGGAGAAATTCTAAACTGTTTGCCCTTTGCAGATGTATTGAAATATTACTGTAACTTACTGGTTTTCCCTGATTTTTTTTTCTGTGCTTTTATCACTACCCTGAAAATAAACAAGGAGGCTAGCATACTAAATGTGTTCTCAGTTACTAGGCTAAACAATGTTTTACTGAGTGTTCTGGTGCTTCAGTGCTGCTGGCTTGACATGAGAGCAAATAGAGAAAAATATAAAAGCCATGTTTTTCCCCTCCAGAACTTTATTATAGCCTTGAATGATAGTAGCACTTGTACCAGAACTGCTACACAGGAAGTTGGGACACTGTTCATAGGGAGCAGCAGGAAGCTGGGGGAACCTTGGAACATTGCCCCACCATAGCTCCTCCAGAGCTGGGGGCTTCAGACAACCACTTTGTTCTCTAGTTCAGTTTCCTCTCCGAATCGCGACCATGGTGTTAATCACTTATTGCTAATTAGGGCCATGAAGTTGAAGAGCACCAGAGGACACGTGACTCCCTTCATGATCTCTTGCTGAGGGTTTCGTGAAGATTACAGCACCCATCCTGGGCTATCTCCTCATTGAGGTTAGTGCCTCCTTCACCCCCATAATCACACACAACCTCTTCCCTGAACTGTGGTTATTTTCACCTAAAGAGAATCAAGCATCTAGGAAAAGAATATCACCAAAGTTTACCAATATAATGTGGAGGGAAGAATTCTTAATGAGCATCTTGTGGACTTGGATTTAGCCCCTAGAAGTGGAAGCTTCTAGAGTGGGGACCTGAAGTCATTTGTGGAGTAGAGAGCGGGAGTTGGAAGACCCCACTGACAGTAGTAAGGACTCATCAAGGCATGAAGAGGTATCACAAGATATTTGGTCATGGTGTTTCCCAGAACCTCGTACCCTAGATAGTACAATAACAGGAAACAGTGGCTGAAATGACTGATAATAAAAGAACGAGAAGATTAACAAGCAATTCCCTAAAAGCAGAAAACAGTGAGGAAAGCATTGGAGTTCTTGTGATGCAATGAGTTTGTCATTTAGAAAGCACTCACCATTCCTTTAAAGCCTGTCTTGGTCAGGATCTTGGTCAGGAGCAGCTGTTCTGCAGTTTAGTGTCCAGGACCACCAACCAATTAGGGCCTGCTGTGTGTCCATGCACAAGCCATGCTCATTTCTCGTTCTCTCATGTGACCTTCTCCTGGAAGATTTTTTGCTTAATGGTGGGGTTGTAATTCTCCAGTTCACGTTGTTGTTCCCAGCTCTGGACCACAGTGACAGTGAAGGACCCTCAGCACTCACATAATAACTACGGCCATCTTTGTGAACCACCACCTCTAATAGCCACCAAGTAGCTCTTTGGGTCCAGAACAATAAAGAAACTTCAGCTTTAGCGCTTTACAGTCAGAACTTCAAGCATATTCACTTGATGCAGCTCCCAGGACAGCATAAATTCCTGTAATTCGTTCCACAGTGAGATTGGCAGGCTTCTGTGGTCTGTGGTGGGAGTACACATCATACCATAATAGAAGCCCTGGGACCAGCTAACCAGTAACCCAGACCCTGGGGAAGCAGAAAGCTTGTGCAGATGAAGGGCTGACCACGGGCTGGATACAGGGGAATGTAAAACAAGTGAGAAGGAGGAAGGGTATGTGTAGCCTCTTTCTTCAAAGTAATTCATAACCATGAGATGTGATTCGATAAAATTAAATACATATCACCAACCGTGCATAGCTACAGAATAATTGCTAATTGAACCATTCAGTTGAAAGCACTATAGAAAATAGGTCACTACTTAGTTTCCACTGTGACACTTGAGATGATGGTGGCGATGAGGATGATGATGAAAATAGATAAAACCTCACGATTCCCATATTAGTTAACTTCATTGTCGTGGCAGCTCTAAGAGGCTACTACTACTAAAATATCTAATTTGCAGACAAGGATATTTTAGCTCCTATTATAAAAGGCATGGTTTATTTCTTTACTGTCATGTATATAAATGTGTGTGTGTGCATGCCCATAACTATGACGTGAAAATCAGATTTCAAATTCTGCTTCTTGATAACAGCTTTGCGAAAATCACAGCCATTAGGCCATAAGTGAAGGAAGTTAAGTAACTTGCTCACACAACTAGCAGGCGGCTGTGCCAGAGACTGAACCTGTGTGATCTGACATCAGAGATTATGTTCTTAACCTCAGTGCTCTGTTCTCTCATTGAGTGATGAGGTTGGATGATGCTAGTTCCATGGTCATTGTGGCCAAAAGGTCCATGTAAGACTCTATGATGAAAGTGATAGTGTGTGTATTTCCCTTTTTTCCTTTAAAAAAGTTGAGATATTCATGCACTATAAAATTCTCCCTTTCAAAGTATACAAGTTCATGGTTTTTAATAAATTCACAAGTTATGCAACCATCATCAAACAACTATCTAATTCCCAAGCATATTTGCCACTCTAAAAAAGTCATCCTGAACCTATCTCCTCCAGGCCTAGGCAATCACAAATCTACTTTCTATGTCTATGGATTTGCCAAGTCTGGATAGTTCATATAAATGAAGTCGTACACTATGTGGCCTTTTACAGCAGCTCGTTTCACTTGGTAGGATGAGTTCAAGGTTTATTCATGTTGTTGCCTGTATCAATACTATATTCTTTTTTATTACTGAATAATAGTCTATTGTATGGATATATCACGTATTGTTTATCCAGTCATCCATTACGGACATTTGAGTTGTTTACACTTTGGGACGATTATGAGTAATGTTGCTGTTACTCTGCTTACATACAAATTGTTGTGTGCACATGTTTGTGACTTCCCTTGGGCTATACCTTGGAGTGGAATTGCTGAGTCATATGGTAACTCCATTTAACTTTTGAGGGGAGGGTGATATTCCAATATGATCAAATTCACTTTTTGCAAATGAATTATACACAAACTTTGATAAATTAGAAGTATTTTGAAATTACTTGCTAAACTCTACACAAGCACTTACAGTGGACTGGTTACGAGAAGGGAAGGCCATGGAAGATCAGAACACTCAAGGAAAAGTGTTTGTAGGATGCCTGCTAATTTCTCAGCCCAAGAGTTAGCACAGAGATCCAACAGAACTGAACAGAAAGAGCTACCTGTTCTGTTCTCCATGGAATACCACGGAGGTGAAAATATCTGGGCTGACTTCTTGTTAGTCAGCTTTGTTAAAAAACACTGGATTCTATACCCCCCCAAGGTATCATGCTTGCTACTTACTGCCTTTATTTAAAATGAAAAAAAAAAAAAAAAAAAAAAGGGACAAAGGGATTGTAGGAATTCTGAGTTTGTCTACTTCAAGCATGGTTTTTCCCATTGTTGGTGTCCAAAGGTAATTTCCTTTCCCTCGGCTGTGTGGGTATTATCTGGTTGGAACTTTTATAATAAAAATGTAATAGTGGGTCCATCTATCCTTACACAGATGGTATGAATGATTATCTTTCCAAAACAATCGCAAATGATTCCATCAAATGAACAATCTCAGCTTGGAGGGAGGGGGCGTGGCGGCTGATGAACTCATGTTGCTGATGGGGACAATCACTCTTTCTATGGCTCCCTCCTTGATTTTTCTTTATATAGGGTCAGTTCTCAAGTGGATAAACTCCTGAATCCTTGGTATAATTATCCCACTAGGATGAGAGAGTCGAATTCACCTATTGTCAGATTATTTGTTTTCAGCAAACTCTGCTGCTACCAAAAATTTGCATCATGTGATCTGAGAGAAGAGAAGATTCCTTCTGCAATATGTTTTCCTTATTAGCTGTCTGCCAGGGCTATTACAGGGAGAGAAAACGGAAAACTTCAGTCTGTGACCATATGTCCAATGTATGTCCCTCTCTTTGGTTCCCAGGGAATATTCTCTTTTTAATTTCCAAACTGGGTGAGTTTGGTTAATTTTATTTTCTTGACTGTCAGTGCCATAGTTTATTTATTTATTTATTTATTTATTTAATTTTAAAGTATCTATTTACTTTTTTATAATAAATTTTATTTTTATATTCCCCATACAATTGCAACCCCCCCCATTGGGGGGTGGGGTCGGAGGGGAGGGATTGGGGTCATAGTTTATTAATTCACAAATTCTTGTGCAGTACCTGCTTTGAAAATGAAACACTGTATGGATAATGGCTGCGATTTGGGGTTTGGTGTCAGGGGGAACAGAATTTGAACCTGATTGCCACTTCATAGTTATGCGCACACACATGTATACACTAGCAGCAAAGAAAGAAAGTGGGCCTTTGAAAATAGGAGATAAATACATACCCTATACATACATATATTTTAGCCTCTCCAAGCCTGCACTAAATGAAACAATGTACATTAAACTCCCCTAACGATATGACACATTATAAAAGCTCCATCCATGAGTGATAGTCTTTTTATTATCTGATCACTGTGTGATAAGAGCTGTAACAATGAATTGGATGAGCTGAGGTAACACAGAGAAGGAATCTACCAACCAGTTTCCTTCATTTTCTAATTTCTTTGGTGCCTTCTCTTCATTTCTTCTCCTGGTGAAAAGCTTTTGTGCCTACTCAACTGCAGATGCTGGCCTAAGTTTTGTCACTGTTCTTGAACATTATCTGCTCTGATTTTAACAGCTCTCCAGCTCCACAATTAGCACCCCCAATTTGCCCAGCAGTGATGAGAATGAAACCCCAGCTGTTGAAGTCTGTATTCACTCTGGGACTGTTCTCGGTGTTCATGAAGAGCCCCTTGGCCTGTCCCTTCTGGCATCAACCGTCATCAGCTGTGTGGCTCTCACCATCTCCCACTGCAGGCCCCAGTGCCGGTGGCACTGGCTCTGTGGGGTGGAGCCCGCATGAACTCATGGTCTGTAGCAGAGCTGTAGTCGTGGTTCATCTGATTGATTTGCTCTTGAGCACTAGAAAGCTCAACTAGCTCACAGCTCTTTATGGCATCTGGCACATGCAGCAAATTCCTTCCAGCTCAGCTCGTGGAGCTGGGCTCTGTCCTGCCTTAAAACCAGCCCCGGCTCCTCAATTACCTTCTGTCCTTATTCATGCCCTGCCAATTCCTCTTTGCTGGAATCTGGATGAGGCTGCTGCATATGCCAAGGCTGAGAATCATTGTAAGGATGTATGGGCCTCCTCCTTGTAAAAATGGCACTTGGAACTTGACTGATGGAGGCCTCATTCTGCTATTGCTCATTCAGGTGAGAGGAAGAAGATGGAAATCTTGAGAAGAAATCTTCCTATAGGTCTGATATGACTTCAGGTGGGCCAGTGTCCCAATCAAAAGACTACGGGATACAGTTTCAAAGAAAGGCCATTCTTGGTGTGTCCGTTGGGAAAGTGCAGTCACTAGGGCCACGCCATCTTGCTTCTTGTGATCATCTCACCCAGAAGGGGCATTTTCTCTCTTTCAGTCCAAAACCCGGAGAGCTGTGCTCCTTGGGAGTCACTCTCATGGACCACTGCCTCCCTTTCTCTATAGTAGAAGGAATCACCACAGTAGAACACAGTGAGAAATAAACTGTGAAACTGAAGAGGCAGGAGGTAGGTGGAAATGTTTACCTCGGGCCTGGAGAAG